ATATATATTGTATATACTCATATATTTAATATTTAATATATATATATACCTATACATTAAATATTTAATATACATCAATGTACTTAAACGTTATACATATATGTACATATTTTTGGAACACTCGCACTCTCGCGGCGAACAGAGTGTGCAACCTTTTCGTTAGATTTGTATTATCTTGCGAAAGAATCGGTGCAACACGTCCGGTGTAAAATGGCGAAACGTGGCCCGATAGAAACGGAGCTTGCTGTTCGCCTGCCTATCGGGCTATGGGATTTTGTACAGGACGTCGGTTGTAACATATGTGGGTCACCACGTACGGAATGAGAGTTTGATGTATGAGCGACGCGTCAAAAATAGACACGTTGCCGCGGAGAAGATAGGTATGTATTCTCTCTCAAACGGTCTTTGGGTGATGGGGGGGGGGGGGGGGGGAGAGAGGAAGTGAAACTTCAAAGCGACGAAGCATCTTCATTAGAAGGATCTCGGGCCATTGCGTTTACGCGCGTCGAATATTTTTATGGTGAAATATTTTTGCAATCGAATATTTTCACGGTCGAATATCTTTGTAATCGAATATTTCCGCAGTGGAATATTTTTACGGTGAAATATCTTTGTAATCGAATATATTTACGGTCAAACATCTTTGTTTTTCGAATATTTTTATGCTGAAATATTTTCGTAATCGAACATCCGTATGGTAAGCTATTTTCGTAATAAAATATTCAGCATCTCGTGGCTAATTGAAAAGTCCATAAAACTGGATCGTATATCGTATTTTATTATCCTTCGACGACATCTATTAGCGGTACATAAAGGTCTAATAATAATTACATTCCCACGATAAGATACAAGTTGTAGGAGCGCAAGAACTGTCCGGCCTTATTTCAACGGAGCCGGCTAACGTTCCGTTTCTTTGACGCATCAATCATCGTGACACACGCTTGGCGATCCGCGCTATTGATCATAATTAGTACACGTACGCAATTATTTTCGCCAGTATATATGATTATGATGAATTAGAACGAAACTTCCTCGTCGGGTTCGCGGTAAACGAAGAGTTCCCGGTAGATCGTTTTAATAACGAACGCGGCGAAATCATACGTTGAAGAAAAATGAAGATTTCGTATCTCCACCCTCGAATAATGTTCCCGATTCAAATATATTCACGAGGGTCGTTTCGTTTCGCAGAAAGTTTATTTTCTGCTCGTAAGGGAGTAGAAGTTTCGAGGAGAGCAAATTACAGGGGGAAAAAAGATAATGATACGATTAATACTTCAAATTCGTGACAGAATAATAAGAATTAACGAGCCCCTGAAATCGTTGTTTCATGACAAAAGCTGTTGTTAAAGTTATCAAAATTATTCTTATAAAATGAGATATCGAAGCTGCTTGCAAGGGCGAAATTTTCTTTAATAACCCATTTTATATTGGGTTGGCAAGCAGTAATACTAACTGGCGTGTACTGCTTCACGAAAGTGAGAAGACCGAATTTATTTAGAATTTGTACAGTTTTTATTATAAAGCTTGCTCCAATAATATATTGGGTTGGCAACTAAGTAATTGCCGATTTCAGTTATAGATGTTTCTTGCTCCCATTTTTATGATATCCGTAACTGTTATATTATAAAATTATTATCATTATTATTATTATGTTATTTTTTATTATCCGTGAATGTTAGCAACTGGACAAATTGAATGCAGCGGTCAAGGAAAAGCGACCAGGATTGGTCGATCGTAAAGGTGTCATTTTCCAGCAGGACAATGCTAGGCCGCACACGTCTTTGTCCACTCGGCAAAAATTCATGGATATTGGTTGGGAATCGATGTTACACCCACCATATAGCCCTGATCTCGCGCCGTCGGATTACCACTTATTTCGAGCCCTGGACAACTCCCTTCGTGGTAAAACTTTTAA